CAAACTTCACACCCTGATTATTCTCACCTCCCCAAATGCTACACTCACCAAAAAACTCAACAGAAGCTGTAAGACCGGTATAACTCAGCTGCTTCTGTTACCTGCATCTTTGCTAAAACCCATCTTGATCAGCAGCTGAGGGGGAAAACCTGGGATTTGTGATAAAGCATAGGCTGAGGGATAGGCATAGATCTCTCTGCTGGCTGACACTTAAGGGTACCCCCTCTGGCAGACAAAGAACTGGAGAGGCAGCAGGGGAGTCTGGTTATTAGGTTTGTTTAGTTACTGTGGGAGAGAAAGTCATCCTTGGTGCTGTAGGTTAGGTTTTGAGAGGATACGTCTATATTTCCATTTGAATTAAATCTTTCTGTTATAATTGGAAAGACTAGCAGAGTTCTAATGTGAAGCAAAACCACTTCCATGTTAGTGAAGGTTTGTGTTCTTCTGGCACCAAAGTGTTGGTTGAACCACAGTATCTTGAAAAACCAAGAATGCAGTTGCAGAGACAGACTTTCTGTTTGTCTGGAACATGCATAACCCTTAACTGCATCTAGTCCATCAAGATCTGTCTTGAAATACCTGATTTTCAGGAGCTGAATCTTCTTGGCTCATCTATATAATATGTATTTAAGCAACAGAAATAAAATTTATACAGTAATATAGCATACTTACATTTGTTTTATGCTAAGAAGCTTATATAAAATGCTAGTGGAAGTAATTCTGATTTCTAAGCAAGTTAGAATATTTAACCACTAAGATGTGCATGAAGTGTATTTTGTCATCAACTAGGGTTTACATTTGAGCAAAACTGAGTTGAAGTTCATTTAATATTGCTGGAAACTTTGGCTTTTTGGATTGTGGTCAAAATAGAAGTAGTTTTCCAAGATAAAATTGTAATCAAGATTTCAGCCATTTTATGTCAAGAGCTCACTAGACTACTTTCTCTACTTTTTCTTTGGTTGGCTTTACCCACTGATAAAAAAGAGGAAATAGGCACTTTCTGGGTTTAGAGCACACGTGGAATATGATAGGATCAGACGTGTTAGGAATCAGGTTCCGGGAAGGCTTTCCTAGTAACTAAGAGACCCTTTGAAGTCTTTAAAATGAGATTCCAAAGGCAACAGAGCATGGAAAGTCCTAAAGCATCATCCAGTCATAGTTAAAAATCCTCTTGGATAGAGTCAAAACAAACCCTGATTTTTGCTGCCTTTTTTGTGAACAAAATTAACTAAATCTGGCAAAATTCTGAAATGCAAATTGAAATGAAGGCAGGAGTAAACAGTGATAAGGAGTGATTTATTTTTCTATCAAAGATTAAGAGTTAGCAAATTGCCTTGTTATCTCCAAGATTTGTTCAGTCAATCTCACATTTTACAATCATGAATTCAGAAAGTGCATTTTGTGTGCCCACTTAGATTCTTTTCCTTGAACAAGATGCAGAATTTATTTTTTCTTAAAAAGGTTTAGGCTTTGGCAAGTTATAGTAAGTTTTTGTAAATGAGAAATTTTTTTATGAATAATGACAGATTTTTCTGGGTGACCTAACCTCTTGGCTGCTGCCTAACTCTTGATTTAGTTTTTCAGTGGGTGACTCTCAGTTGTCCCTCTGCCATTTAATTTTCAGATTGAAAGCAAAGCTGTCAGGTGCAAATTGATTTCCTCTACTTAGTGGAGATCACTGTCCTCTGATTTGATTAGTTCACTCTTGAGTTATCACCTTTATGTCCACCAGAAGGCTCTACTGCTTTCTGAAATGTGCACAGAACCATATTCTTTGGGTACCTAACAAGGTCAGCACTGTTGTAAACAGGATTTGGCAGTTAGCTTGCACTGAAACAGCACACACATATTTCCGTAACTAAGCAATTAAATTCTAATGTTTTTTAGCAATAAAAATCTGATACATACAGATTATTTATAATTGGTGAGTGAAGATTTGGTTCAGTATTTAGTTCTGATGTGAAATTTGAATCCACACACATTTAATACAGTGGCTGTTAATTGAAAACCTTAGAAAATTTAACACTTTCACTATTTATGCTGTTACTTTCATAGTAGGTGTATATATATTTATTCTGTAATTAGAGAAGTTTGAAATACAAAGACTTTAATTCCTCACCATCTTTGTGTTCTTATAGTTCCAGTTGGTAAGACAACCTCTATGAATTTTGGCATTTGCCAAAGCTGTGATGAAGTTATCCTTCTACAGACATTTCTCAGTGTGAAGATTGTTCTTCACAATATTCATGCTTCACACCTCATGGGCTGAAAAGAAGTAGCTCACTTGATCTACAGAGCTGTCAGGACAGCTTCCTTCATGAAGCTATGTTATGAGCGGTAAAAATATTATTTTGTTCATATTGTATTTTAGTAGCACAAATTAGCAAATTCAAAAGGGAAAAGAATTCCTTTTATTTATTATGTAAGTGGAAAATTGGGATAAAATGAGAAGAAACCTCTTGGAGCAATACTTTTCATGTCCACTGATCAGTTTGACTGCAGCAGTTCTGGCATTCCATCCTAAGAAACAGGTTTGATTTACCTTTTACTAACTTTCAGAAATCATGGAACAGGAATGTTTGAACACACAGAAATGCATCCTTTTCATCTGTATGGTTTTAAAATTACGCTTTTCAGAGAACCTGGATAAAAATAGCCTCTTTAAACTTCTAATGTTAATTTTTTTTCCTTAGGTAAGGTGTACTAGTCCAGGTGGGCATTATTTTTGCTTTTTGCCCCCTCATATAATAAAATTTTCTTTATGATTATTGATTTTAGTAGAGAGCCATAGGCACATTATCAGAAAGGCTGTTTACATCTTTGTTGAGCAAAGGGTATGACAAAAACTGTTCCCATAATATTGTACTGTACTAATTTCTTTAGTTTCTCAGAAAATCCAGATTCCCAATGTTCACATTTTTCTAGTCCTCTTTGTCTATATTTGCCTATATACTTGTTCAACAAAAGCATTTGGATGTTATTCCTTAAGATACAATAGATAAATTAAAGTTAAGATGTATGAAGTTCCTACATACTTCTGCTAATTTAAAGGCAGCTCATCACAGTGCACATCAGTGACCAGATAAACCAAATGAAATTGTAATGGTTTTCTCATCATACTCATTGCAATTACCAGAAAAATGATTGGGTTTTTTTTTTCCACTGCAATGTAAACGTAAGGGTTTAGTGACTCAAGTTTGACTTTCTGTAATTTGTAATAGTTAGTTACCATCACTAAATTATCATTAAGTGTTCAGGAAACTGCAAGAGACTACATCATTGGCACAAGAGGATGTGGTGTTCTATAACGGGCTCTACAGAATGTTTATAGGTGTTATTAATGTGCTTAAGCAGAATGGGATCCTTCAGAGAACTGAGAACCTCTGCTTGAATTTGAAATAATGCTAAATTGCTAACAAAGTTTTACTTAAGCATCGTGGATCTAAAAAGCAACTCTGTATAATAAATTACTTAGCTCTAGATGCTGTCATAATGTGTTTGTAAACAATAAGAGAAAAAAATTTGGTACTGTGAATATTCACTTATCTGCATTAATTCAGAAGAATCAGTTTCAACAGTCAGTAACATTTTTTCCCGTGATTTTTTTATGGGAACAGCTTCACTTCAAAACTACTCCTATGGATCTCTATTGTAGCAATGCCCTCCTGAAACTCGAAGGGAGTCTTCTTGAATATGGACCAAATAATTTAGTTGGCTGCTGGCCATGTGTTGTCTTTCAGAGGAGTATGGTTATTCACTATGTAATAGTGTAGGAAGAAAGGAGACATATGGAAACTAATTTTAAAAGAAACAGTAACATTAGTCAATGCAGTTTTAGCCACACAAGTTGCCAAGCTCTTAATGTAGTCATGAAGCAAAGGAATAAATTATGAAGCCCACTAGCCAGGCGCGTAGCACGCGAAAGTGCTGCTCTGTTAGGAAACAAGCACTCAGCTTCAGCTGAAGGCTCAAACACACTAACAGTTCTTGAAGTTTGATTTATGCATTTCTTTTGCTGCTATTATAAAAAGCACACTATTATATACAAGAAATTAAATCATTTTTAAATAGCATTCTTGGGAATATATTTGTCCTTTTATTTGTCTCTAAACACTAGACCAGCATGTCCCCAGCCCCTTTTTGTTAATAATTTTGTTTTGAAATGTGCAGTATAATCCTATGTATTTTCCTGTTGCATCTTAATAAAGTAATGCCTTTTCAAGCAGATGCCACGTTTCTCTAAATAAACAATACATTTGTAACAACACAAAAGACAAAGTGGCAAAAATAGTGACTGTAAAAATTGATGTCTTCAAATATTAATCAAAGATTATATAGGTATTTGTGTGGAAAATACATATTAGTACAACAATTAATTTTCCAGATCAGAATTTGTGTTCGCTACAGCTTCATAAAATATTGTATGTCCATTCTCTCTAGATGAGTCATGGTTTTGGAAGAAAGGGGAAGAATATTTTTTCAGCATTATGATCATTGTAATAATGAACTGCAGAAACTATAATAGATTTTGTTCCTGGCTTGGCAAACTATCTAAAAGATTTTGCAAGAGAGTTTACATAATTCTTTCCATAACTTTCTAGTATTTCTGTGTTTTAATTGTTAACTCAAACACACCAAACTTTTAGGTAGTTTGTGCTCTATATAAATGTGGTTTAATGTTTCAGGAGTATTTTATGAGGAGAGTTGGTGGCTATACATTTTTGTACATGCAACCTTAGTTCACTTGTTAAAATAGGCTCTCTGTTTGCTAATAGTTCCCAGCTGTAACTAATACATTAACAGATCTACAATGCAGTATTTAAAATGACGCATTTCAAAATCAATAGCAAATGTCCTGCTGTGCGATTAATTGGAAAACTCGTTTTACACAATGGTCAGTACACGATACAAAACTCTTTTGGAATTATGGTAAATCAAGGAATAGGAAACAATGATGTATAAATTTCTAAAAACTTAGGAAAAGCAAAAATAGTACTTACTGTAGTTGTTGTTTGCTTCTCTTGTCCCTTTCACTTTGCCTCTTTTATCAATCCTCATATACCACTGAGTTCGACAGAAAAGTCTTCTCACTCTTACATCCCCCCCTTCCATATAATCATAGCTTCTGGTATGTCGCTCAGGGCTGGAACAGTTCACATTTGTAGCCATTTGCTCTGGAGTCATGTCATTGCAAGCTAAAGATATAGTGCCCATTAGAAAGATAATGTAAAAGTATGATCTGTAGAGCAAAATTGGCAGGATCCATGTCAGTATCCATTTGTGCATTATAGTGCAGTGTTCTGGGTGTTCATGAACAACATAATGAAAATTAAATCTCAAGTAGACTGTTGCTCTTAGGTCACCGACCTGCCTTCTGTCTTTACGAGTTACAGATTCATTTAAGTGAGATTGCTCCCTCTTCTAGAATTCTGATCGTTATTCCTTAATAGTTAATGGCGAAATAGAAGAGCTTCTTAAATATCTCTTCAGTCAGAATATCCTTTAAAGACACAAGTTATAAAAACCTTTGTTGTTGTGACCTTCTTTACTACTTGAATTTGCTGCTTGCACTGAAAGTAAAAGATCTGTGAGAAAAGGTGCATGTGTAAGTCTTTATGCTCAATTGTTACAAACGTGCAAGGATACATTATGCTAATGAAAAGTACTACACAGAAATACATGACATGCTGAGCTCATTTTTAAAAACATGCTAATGCATACACAATAGATATCTCTCATACAACTTTTTACATAACCAGACATTTACACTCATTATAAACACAGTTCTCTCTTCAGTTTTAAGTCCTTCCAAAAATCTCCTATTGATTAATTTCAACTCTCATGAATGATAAAATTCTCCTCATTACTTCATAACTATACTACTGTTAGCACAATCTATCATATAACTTTTCTCTAGTTCAGGTTTCAAAACAGATCTCATGGCTTTAGCCCTGTGATTTTATTCCTACCCTTTTCAGTTTCTTAGTAGAAATAGTTTTCTTAATTCTTTTCTTAGCATCTAGCATATAGAAATAAAAACAAGTTATTAGCTGTTAGAAACTGTTGAATAATCTTGTAAAGGACAGATAACTTACTTGTTCCTTTTGATAAGAGCTGGATACCCAAGTACTCCATTTCTGTTGTCTCCTTTTTGCAACATGAGACACTCTACTGTAGCTACAAACTTTCTCAGCTCAGAAAGACTCCACCAGAATTATAATTGTTTCCATAAATCAACAGGCTGGAGAGATGGTGTGTATGTGCTTATGCGTGCGCGTGCATGTGTGTGTTGAGCCTGTTCAGTCCTTTTCGATAAATACCTTTGCTGACCTCACTTGGAAGCAATTAGAATTTAACCAGTCAGCTGTCAGTTGAATGCACGAACAAAAGTAAAAGGAGACTTGCATTGTATCGTGTCCAATGGTCATCAGAGGGAGCTATATACATAGTTTATGGTTTAAATCTCCAAGAATCTTCTTTCTAAAAACGTATATTTTGTGCTGTGTGGATAGAATTGCTTCACATGCTAGTTAGTGTTTCTGTGCTCTGATTTAGATCGGTATTCTTATGTCCTTTAAAAATTCCTCCTCCTCTCTTTTGTACTCACATGCTTATCTCAGTGTGCTTTCAAATCTCTTCTGCAGTTTGGTGGATTCATAGTCTGCTTAGTGCCTTTCTGAAGGATATATGAAACGTGGGTCTGTTACATACCATGGAGCCCTTAGAGATCATGAGGAATATTTTTATACCATGGATTTGAAAAGACGGACCACTGCATTGAGGTTTTATTTCATCAGCCACTAGGTGAAAATGAGAAAGTTTGGATGTTTCAAAGTCTGACATTCAAACACAACCTTTATCAGCTTGAAGGAAAAAACTGCTACTAGGGAACAGCCTTTCTTAGCACATGTAGTTAGTTCTGGAAATTCACAAAGGGAGGATGAAAACTGGCAGCAGTGTAAGAAAATCCCTAATACTGCACACCAAGCAATGGGCTTAAAATCTAGAGAATCAAAATAATGAGTGGATTTTCTGTTATTCACCTGGTTTTCTGGTTTTGTGTACCTGTTTCCCTGTCTGACACCAGACTGCCCATGTTCCATTTCACCCTGAAATTCTGTTGAGTTTCTCGTGAGTGTATTTGTAAAACACATTGAAGCAAAGCTTTCAGTAGCTCTTTATCCTTTTTAACTGCCCCACTGCTGATGTGAACACACCTCAGTCCCTTTAGTAAGTAATATCAACAAGGAAAGTTTGGAATTAATCCAGTTGTTAAGAATAGTTGACTTATGTTTAATAGTTTCTGCCTAATAATATAATGCAGTTTATCATTCCATGCTCTTATCCCATCCCCCGTCCCTTCCTCTCTCTTAATTAAAAATCAAGTGAACTGTAGAGGCAGTTAAAAATCCCAGGTAGTACATATGTGCCACCTTGTGGTGAGGGGGACATAAGTAAACAGGGTGTTTCACTGGACTGATCCAAAATTAACAAAAAGGTGCACCAGGCAAACTTGTAGTACTCAGCCTTTCCTATACACAGAGAGAATGAGTAATTTCCTTCCTTAACATCCACAGCCTCCTTGTCAGCACTCACATGGATCAGTCCAATTTGTCACTTGCTTTGCATTCTTTTTTAACCATTTTCACACGTGGTCCAAAGTTGATAGATTTTTATTGTTGCTATCTCTATTTCAGCATACAGGGCTGTTTTCTGTGTTCTGTTGCTCATTTTCCTACTTTGGCAAGATGCTCAGTATATGCACCTTTCTGATATGAAAGATGTGCTGCTGAGGGCTTTCAAAGGCTGCATACCTGCAGCTGATACACAAAGAAGTGGCTGTCATTAGTTAACTTCTGTAAACTGTGATCACAGCTGTCTCCAGTTTGACTTCTGGCTTGTCAACCTATGCCCCCATTCTGACAAGGAGTGGGGACTGAAGTGACTTATCCTAGTTGTGGCTTTTGCAGTACGTTTGCTGGATTTATATCGGCATGTTCTCTGACCCATTCCACAGTCTGAATTCAGAATGATAGCAATGAAAAAAATTTGTGGTATTCAAAAGGCTTATCTCTTGTGTATTATAAAGAAAGCAATCAAGGATAAAAGGTAATCTGTCTTTTACTCAGCAAAATAGGATGCAAGTAGAAATGTTTTTGTAAATATTCTGGGTCTTTTATGTTCAATAACAACCTGCACTTTCAGATCCGTACTGGTTTTAATTTTTCTTTTTTCTTGCTAACTTATTGTTTCTGACACTTAGTACCAGGAGAAAAAAATACATACCTGAGGTTTTGGTTCCAGAAAGCTGTTGCTATTTGTGGCCCAGGCATAGGCATGTATTTCTCTTGGCTCTGAAAAAATAAATCACTTGCTGTAAGTGAGTTTTCTTAAGTGGCGCCTCACTTCAGATCTCTGGAAACTTTTGTAGTTAAGAGTAAATGAAAAGTGGCTTAGATAAGGCACTAGCTCTAATTTTGGCTGGTGAAAATACAGTTACTCTTTAATTATATTGCTGCTAACATTCATATCCTTGTGTTTTGTAATTATAGAATAATATCTTTTCACCGTGCTTTAGCTGCAGTTTTCTTAATTACACATTTTTATGCCTTGCTAGACAACAAGTCCAATTCTGTTTCTTTTAATGAAGGGATGCTGTCTCACTGTGCATGTGTACATCAGGCTTCTCTACATGTGTTGCTAAGCCTCTGAATGGCAAACATGCTTCTGATAAATCAAGCACAGCTAATATATCTCTCAAATTAAATTGGTTTAGGGTTAGAGAAGATTTATCTTAATTGACATTTGGTTCTCTATCTGTTTAACAAAGTGCATTCCCAGTCTTTGCATTACAATCCCAAGCAAATCTTTAATTATATATTAGAATTTTCCACCTGAAATGCTTGTGACTTTCTGTTTCTTTGGTGATGTGTTCAGGTTTCAGGACCACAGGAAACATGGAGTGTACAATATGCACATGCTGTAAGCCATCCTTTCATACTTAATGCATGCATTGGTGCTTCCTTCTTCCTGTTGATTAGTTTTCCACAGCATTGTTACAGTGCACATACTGAAAAGGAAACTCAAAATTAATTACAAGCACTTTGCTTCTGTTTCCAAAGATTGTGCATTGGTCTCCAGTTAAAATAGAACTCAATAAAGATTATTCCCTTTTTCCTTACATAGGAAAACATGACCACAAGCACCCATGCTTTCTTCATCTCCAGGCTGGCCTGTTGCAAATTTACTGCCCAACTGTGGCATTGGGTCATGAATGTGACTTTTAAAAAAACTCCGTTTTGTCCAGTTTGCCTTAGGGCAATACATCACTGCTAAGAAACTTACCATTTTCTTCCTCCTTATTTCCTGATCCATTTCAAATTTGCTTTAGAACATCTTCCAGAATTTCCAGTTTAAGACAGTAGGAAGATAAAAATCTCTGTATCTGACTTTAAACCCGAGATCTTGGGTTTTAATGCCCTGCAGCAATAGCTAAACTGGGATTGGAAGGTCCCAGGGAAAAAATACCGCAGATGTGAAGGTGCTAAATATTCTTGTGGTTAAATCCTTGTCCACAGTTTCCAGATCTCAGAAATCAGCATCAGATCAAGGCTGACTGTTACTATGTGCAGAAGATACAAGAAAAGTGTTACAGTTTGAGCAAATCTTTGGTCAGCCTTGCGGTATCTGAGAAACACAGCAACATGTGTGGAAAATATACTCATATAATGAGGCAGTAAAAACAAGAGAGACAGGGAATATTGCACTTCAGTTTGGATTTATCTTTTGAGGTTCTAAGGCTGAGATTAAATACTGTAACTATGAATCCTTTGTCTCCCTGACTATAAGAATGTATTTTTGGTTTTGGTAACTGGTATGGGTTATTAAAATCATATTGAAAAGACAACAGCAATATTTTCCTAGCAATTTTCAAAACAGATCTCTTCAACATCATTCCTTTTTTTGTTTCCTCCTATTCATCCAGATCATATTGAGCTGATTTAAAGTTACAGGAAGAAATGAATAGGATGCAGCAGATACTTGGAAAAAAACCCCATTCAAACTATCAAATAGTTTGACTACTGCATAACTAATTCCTTTTCTTTTAATTAGTTACAGCAAATGCATTTTATATAGCTTATTTTAGTGAAAACAAAGGCTGGGAATACCTTAGCTCAGTCAGTAGTGAACTTAAAGATAAATCCGTCCAGGTTTTTTTCACTTGGACAATGGAGTATCGTGATACTGACTTTTGGAGGGGTAGAATAAAACCAGAATGCAACGACAGCCAGATGAGTCCTTCCTTTCTGAATGGAATGGTTATGTTAGAGCTTCTTGTTATTCATAGCTTAATAACCCTCAACCTCAGGAGATTCTACTTGTGATGACAAGTGATGACTTGTGATCAGGACACTCAGGCTATGTTTATCATACCTCAGATCTTGATGCAGAATTGTAACAGTACATTTTTGGTGGAGATATAAAAAATAGAGAACTGGTATGAGAAAATACTGAGGAGACCCATATTACCAGGTATGATGTTCAGAGGTTTCTCTTCTTTTTCTCAAGTGATCCATACATTTGTAGTCAAAGTTGTTTTTTTTTTTTACCAAAATACTTAACCATGCAGTGATTTCTTCTGTCTGACTTGATCTATTTTTGCAAAATAAATAACTTGTAGCATCTTTTTATATACACAGATGATTGGATAAGAACCAGCTTTAAGACCTGGATTTGTGGAATCTGTTTGCTTACAGTCACCTCCTACAGTTGTCTCCAATTAACTAGGTGTGATACATCCAATATCTGCTGCCTCTGTGGCATACTGTAGGTGTCAAAATGCTCCTGGGATTGAGTTCTAAAAACCTGGGCTCACATAAACACACACCATACACTGAAACATTCCTGATGCTGTAAACTAAAATACTGAAAAGGCACAAAGTCCAGCTATCCATCTCATCCATTCATCAGGGAGGAAATCATGAAGAGAACAATAATGTTGTTCAATAACAACAAAAACAATAACAAAAACTTAGTCTGTATCATGGTACGTACTCACTCAACCAAACCAGTGTTTATTAAAGTAAGCCTTAGCATTTCTGTATAATTCAGTGAGTCCAGGTTTTCACCCGAAGTTTAATGTAAATTCCTTCTTTATGGTTCTTTATTATTTACGAGTGTTGAGATTTAACTTGACATTTTTTCAGTGGCAGGTTAGTACAATCAATACAACAAATACAAAATAACAAAAGGTAGGGCTGTGTATGGCAG